ATTACTCTGACCATGCAAATCTACTTGTGCAAATTTTTCTAATTTCAAACTATGCCTGCAAAGTAACTGTCTTTTTTTTTTTTTAATGCAGCACATGTCAACAAAAGCCTGCAGCTGAAACAAGCCATACACAAATGCCAGAGAAGGTCAGTGTGGCTGCTTACCCAGATGATGAGATGCCAGTGAAGAGTCGAGGTTCCTACAATCTTGATTTTGATAACTTAAATGACATCAATCCTTTTCAAAGTTCAGTACAGTTGCCTCATTCTCCTGGAAATCTGCAAAAGTCTCCTGTAAAAGTATCCAGCAGCTCTGCGAAAACCACTGAAAAAAGTAATGATTCTCTTCTGTGGGACGATGCAGCTCCTTTTGCTTCAACCACAGCAAGTACAGAGTGTTTAAGCGAAGACAAAGCTCTCATCTCTGGAAAAGAATCTGCACTGGGTGAGCTGGAGTCTAACAAATCCAAGGTGTCACCTAAGCAAGCAGTTGGTGAATCTGAGCAGGGTGTGAAGTGTGCTTCCACAGATGCAAGCCAAGCTGATAATTCAGTGGTATTAGCAGGGGCACCTACACCTCCTGTGCAATCACCTGGCAGCTTAGGGCCCAGTAGTTCTGATGTGAGCAACTCTCTTAAAACTGGGGAATCAAAACTTCAGGATGTTTCAGTGGCAGAACAAGCCTCTGCACAAGAGTCAAAGCCTGATGAAGAGCTAAGTGTCTCTACAGAGAAACCTGCAGAAAAGCCTGATGTCACCAAGGCTGGACCAGTAAAACTGGAATTTGACTTTGATAATACCACTGCTAGAAAACCACCTCCTAAGAAGCTAGGTAAAAGACCTGGAATTAAGCCACCTTCCAAAAAAATTCCTATTACCAAAACAAAACCAGAGAATACTGAAGAGCAAAATAAAAGTAATGTAGAGGATGACATCCCTATTCCTAAAGCATCTTATCAGTTTGACTGGGATAAACTTGATGATCCAAACTTTAATCCATTTGGAGGAGGCTCTAAAATCTCCACCTCACCCAGCCCTCAGAAAGTTTGCCTGCCAGAGGAACTGGAGAGTGCCTCACCAAGAAAGGAACCTCTTCCAGTGGAGCAGGATAACAGGCCAAGTACCTGTGAAACGCCTGAGAAAGAAGAACGCAAAAATCTGTAAGTGAATCTGTGACTGAATGCAGGAGCACCTTGAATTCATGTGAGCAAAGTTAGATAGTATCTAAAATGAGTCCATTCCTGCTTCTTAGACAGTATCCCTCCCAGGCTGGCACAGTCTGTTGTAACCTGTAACACAATTAATGTTGCAACAGGAAAGTTCATAACTGGGGAAGGAAACTCCTGAGATGACTATCTTTAGGCAAAAGGTGTTCTTAAGTCTGGGAGAATGGGAGAGAACAGGCTTAGGTGGAAAGAGCATTGTTCAAGAGGTGCTTTCCCCACTTCTCCAAGATTAAAGTGTGGAGAATCAGACTGCTACTGTCTGTA